ATAAGCCATCCTTCTCCACAGACAGCGTCCTTGTGTGGGAAGGTTTTAGCCGAAAGAAATGAGTCAGACATAGACCTTGACTTGAAGTTGGAGTGATTAGAGTTAGTATTTTAAAAGAATATTTTAAATTGCCCAGCCATTAACAAACACATGAAAAGATGCTCAACATCACTCATTATCAGAGAAATGCAAATCAAAACCACAATGAGGTACCATTANATTTTGATTAAGAAGCCTGGCATCAGTCACACCTGGATCGTGGCTCTGTGTACTTTCACTCATGCACTAACTTCTCTGAGTTAGTGCCACATCTGGAAATAGGGTAATAATTCCAGTTTCATAGGATTGTTCATAGAATTAAGTGGAATAATGCATCTGAAACACTTTACTGAGCACCTAGCATATATTTTGTGCTTGATAAATGTTAATCATTCTTATTACAACTGTGCCAGATTATTTGAGGTTCTTCACACTTAACCCTTCTTCCTCAAGGGCTGGAGTCCCATTCCTCCCACTGGGATCTGTGCCTTGCAGATCCTTTGTCTTGCACAAGTTTCTACCTGTGATGAGTCAAAAATCAAGTTTTGCATCAGCTAGAAGGGATTTCTTCTTCTCTGGAACACTATGATAATTTGTATTGCTCACATCTTACTTAACTACTCCTGTGTTTGGCTTACCTCACCTTAGAGTTTCTAATTCTCTTGCAGTCATGGAATGTCTCAAACACCTTGACATTGCCCCCAGGATCTTGCATAGTGCTGCATCCCTGTAAATATTGAGTAGATGATTATTCACTCATGCAGAAAGGCAAGCAGGTACTGAATAAATACTGCTTGAATGAATTAAAAAATTTTAAATTTTGCATTAATTAAAAAAGAAGAAGAAGAAAACATGTTTTTGATACAGTGGTGAGGCCCAGACAAAGTGGATTTGTCCATACCGTTAATCTGTCTCATGGGCCCTTCATTGTCTTTGAAATACATTTGACCCAACTCTCTGCATTGTGAATTGACATGGCACATGTCTGCTAGAGAGACGTGCATTGGAAAGTCAACAGTGTTTGAGGGGCTTTGTTCCAGGCTATCCAATGTTTGTGGAAAGTGAAGGACAGTTGCATATCCTCGGGGAAAAAAAAAGTCATGGAACAAAGGATGTTCATATGACATTGAGTCAAACTTTATAATAAAAGAAAATGTGACAACTTAATTATTGATCAATTGTGATGTGGGGAGGGAAGTCCAGGTACTTCCTCTGGCAAAGAGAGCTATGATAACTAAAAATTGTCCTTTTGATAACAGAAACATCAAGTACTTTAATGGTTATTGTAAGCCTTTTAAGTCCTTGTAGAAGTGTTCTTGGCTGACAGAGGTTTCACATTTCCAGCAAGTTAAGTTTTTACTCTGATTTCGACTGAGGCAGTCACTGGTTAGCAGGTCAGGTACTGAGGCTGGATATGATATTATGCTCCCCCCAACCTTTGGATCCACTTTCTAACATCACAAGTAGTGTCTACATCTTTCAGTTTTTTAAAAAAATATTTTTGCTATGTGAGAGGCTATAGAAAAAAAACAAATTATATGGGCCTTGGAGTTCACCAGACATAATTTAGAATCTTGGCATGTCCACTTATTAGCTAGATATTAATGAGTTTGAGCTTCTCCTTTCTTATCTTGAAGCTGAGTGTAACAGTGTTATCATCATTTTTGAACTTTAACCATCATTGTCAGCAGTACTGTTATCATAATCATAATCATTCTTATCACAGTGGCTAACATTTAGTCACCTCCTAGTGTGTATCAAGATTTGCTCTAAGTGCTTTATGAATTAGCCCATTTAACTTGTTCGACACAAATTAATAAGGTATATTATTAGCCCCATTTAAAACATCTAGTGTAAGGCCAGACATAGGTGCATGAATATTATTATTTAATAGGAGTTATTATCTTTTATACTGTTTGGTCTAAATGTTGGTTTAAAATTCTGTCTCAAAGGAAGAACATTCTAGAATGTTATCACCAAAAGGAATTAAACTTGGGGTTTATATGGTTCAGTGCTTTCTGTATTTTTTTAAAATCAGAAACTGTTGTTCACATAATCACTGTTTCAACAGTATAAAAGCAAAGCTGTTCTATTTGAATCAGGGCTGGGGGACTTGCACTCTGACCAACAACTCAGCTGTGCCCAAGACTCTGAGGAATAGTGTGAAAATCACTAATGCTATCCTTTCTTGGTATATGTACCTAGATAGGCAAAGTGATGTATTGTGTTTATTAGTATAGACCCTTAATTATGAATTAGATCTCTTCTCCAAGATCACTTGTTTTCTATGAGACTGCAGTATGTGATATAGCAGTGTGGTTATTATTTGCTAAAATGTATGAGTTAAAAATGATAAAGCACCTTTTATATACCTTGTAATATTTGAACTTCACAATTCCCATGTTGGGTATAACATAAAAATGCATAATATATAAAATTTTTTGAGGGTTGGAAGATTGGTAGAATTGGTAATAGAGGTAGGATGGGAAAAAAAAAAGTCAAGAGACCAGAAATGTTGAAAAAGGTCGATTCCATTGAGATAAGTAAGCACACTGGAGTTGGCATTTGCCCAGAGGTCAATTTTTAATCCCTGGTGGTAGAATCTGGCTTCTAATGGACTACTGTTTAAGTAGACAGGAGGAGAAGCCTGAGGCTTGCATAAATAAAGAATCTTGAAGGGTAAATCCTTGGTGGGTGACTAGGAAAAATCTACTCTGTAACAGGAGACTTGCTTGTCAGTCTTGACTCTAGATAGGGAGTATGGCAGAGAAAAGTCTGCATTCCTGAAAGTTTAGAATCTAAATTTATTCTACCTGTGTGGCTCAATCCATATGTCCCAAGGCAAAATGTAGTTTAAAGTGATTCTAGGTTGATAGTTCCCTCGGGCACCTGACAAAACCAAACCCAGATCCTCTCTGAAGAAGTACAGTTTTAAAGCCCAAACCTCAAATAATTCCTGCAGATTAAATCCTAAAAAATATGAGCTCACAAAGAATCATAAAAGATGAGATAAGTGCTCGGGCCTGGTGCACTGGGAAGACCCAGAGGGATCGGGTGGAGAGGGAGATGGGAGGGGGGACTGGGATGGGGAATACATGTAAATCCATGGCTAATTCATTTCAATGTATAAAAACTACTGTAATGATGTAAAGTAATTAGCCTCCAACTAATAAAAATAAATGGAAAAAAAAAAAAAAGAATCATAAAAGAATCGCTCAAAACACAAGAAAACAGTACCCATGCAGGATACTCACTGAAACAAACTAAAATCAGAAGACTGAAGATATTGGAGTTGTATGTGTAAAATATATGTCTAACGTGTTTTTAAAAGGGAGAAATTAAAAGAGGAAAGAATGAGAGATTACAAATTTGACCAAGGAGATTTAAAAAGAAATTGAATTCTAGAAAATAAAAAAATGCAAGTAAAATAAAAATGATGTGGATGACTGAGACAATATGACACTACTTGAGAGAATTAAGAGACCGAAGTACACATCTAGAAGTTAAACAGAATTCTGCATAGAAAAAAAATGAGATGGGAATATTAAGGCAAGTAGAAGTAACATGGAGGACAGTTTAAGAAAGAAGGGAGAATAGTAATCTCATTATAATCTAGAAAGAGCGATTAGAGGCAATGGTGAAGAGAGAATGTTTGAAGAGAAAATACCTGAGAATTTTCCAAACTGATAAGAGATTTAACTAATCTTTATGTTTAAGAATCCCAAGGAATCCCAGGAAGAACAAATAAAAATAAATTCACATCTAAAAACCTTAAAGTTAATGAATATGGAACAAAACAAAGCTCATCAACTAACCAACCAAATAAAATAGATCTTAAAAGTCACAGAGAAAAGGTTTGTCACATACTATGAAATGACTGTTAGGCTAACAACTGACTTCTCAAAAGTTATAGCAGAAGCCAGAAACAATGGGATGTCTTCAAAATGTTGAGGCAAAATAGCTCTGTACCTAGTAAAGCTGGTTTTCAAGTAGGAGGGTTGTCAAAGGGCATATTTAGATGAATTAAAATTGAGCATAGTTACTGTCAAATTTATCTTCTCTAAAGGAATTTATGAAGAATATATTGAGGAAAAGTAACTGTCTCTGAGGGAATTTGTTAGATTCAAGAAAGACTCTTGGGCAAAGAAATGTAAAACATGTGGTTTAAAAAGTGTGCCTCAGGAAACATGTTCAAGAATGTTTCTTGCAGCCGTGCTAGTAATTCAAAACCTGCAAATAACTCAAATGTCAATACTTAGTATAATAGATAAATTGTGGAATATTTATACTATGAAATATTATATACTACTGATGAATGATAGCCACAGGCATTAATATGAATGAACAGAAAAAAAAAAAACCTACGTCATAGAGGATATGGTACAGTATGATTTCACAGGTGAAGTTCAAAATGGCTAAAACTAAATAATCTATTATTTAGAAATCATACCTATGTATGGTAAAGCATACAGAAATATGTAAGGGAGTGATTAACACAATTGTTAGGATAGTTGTCTCTGATGGCTGAGAGGGAGGTTCTTTGGGGATGTTTAATAAATAGGTACTGACAATACTTTTTGTATTAATTTTATCAGATATATTCATATATATTCATTTTATATATTTCCTATGTATCATAAATTTTGTAATAAAACCATTTAAAAGGCTAGTCATGTAAGAAGGTAGTGGAAAGAAAATTCAGGATCAACGTGGATAAAAGCTTTCAAAAAGGAATAACTTCAGCAAGTTTGTGTATTAGGAGAGAAAATTCTCAGGTATGGGATGGTCCAAAGATTTTTATTCCTCTTTATGGATATGCAAATTTATCTTTGCATATTGCCAAGGCATATTCTCACATATGCTGACATATAATAACAGTGTTGTTATTATGCTCATGCTTTATTATTTGGAAGTCTCTTATTCTCCTCTTTCCTGATGTAAATTTTATTTGTTTCTTCTAGGTCATAACTTTTGTGCTGAAGGACCTAAATGTGGTGAAAACTCGGAGTGCAAAAACTGGAATACCAAAGCTACTTGTGAGTGCAAGAATGGTTACATTTCTGTCCAGGGAGACTCTGCCTACTGTGAAGGTAAGTGAGCTATTTAATATAATCAGCTTGTGAGGAGTGTATTCCTGGTATATATGGCTGAAGATTGAAAGCCTTCCCTTGGTTCTGGTCCTGTGGGATCCTAGAAGAAATTGTCAACTGCCTAGGATACTCATCTTCTGCCAGACTGCTTAGTAGCATGTAATAGCAAGACTTTTGAGGTTATTGAAACCCAGCAAAGTAACAGAAGCAGTAGAGCCATATCAGATCCCATGTTCTACTGTCACTATATTTAATAATCTCCAGGAAAACTCTAAATATCTCATTTTATGTTGTCTTATTTGGGAAGATCATCATCTTCAATTTCAGTTAAATGTTATGCAGTGGATTCTCTTTTTGAATGGATGCTTTGATGATAACTTCTACCCAATTGCCATCATCTTCCTCTGCCAAGGTTATGTGTGGCTATTAATAATCCCCAAACTCTTGTAAAAGCCCCAGTGACGGATGGACTCATAGCTTTTGCACATGAATTGATGTCATTATAGTAGGTTGGTGGCCTCAAGCGTCAGTGACCCCCTTTTCTCCTTTACAAAGCTGAACAACTCCTCTGTCTTATGTGAACCCCTCTTTCCATGCTCGGTACTGGTGGCAAGTGTTGCATACTCCTGCACCTTTAACATACCAGAGGGTCAGGAATTATTTCTGACCCTGGACTTACATGTGAAAGTGAAGTGAAGTCACTCATTCGTGTCCAACTCTTTGCGACCCCATGAACTGTAGCCTACCAGGCTCCTCCATCCGTCGAATTTTCCAGGCAAGAGTACTGGAGTGGGTTGCCATTGCCTTCTCCACTTACATGTAAAATGGCCTAAAATCTAAGATCTTTTCATTTCTCCAGTGCTCACTGGCTCCCTCCTGTTGGATTGTTATAGGCAAATTGATGCTAGGCTGTTTCTCTGTCCCGGTTGGACCCAAGTACTCCTGTCATCTTTACTAACAATATATTGAGCCTTGGGGATCTGTTAACCAGGAATGTGGATGTCACATCTGGAATAAATGCTGCAATGTCTTGGTCACTATCTTCTACTGCTTTGGTTCTCAAGTAGATCAGGTATTGTCAAGGTGAAGACAATTGATGACAATAATGGTAAATTTCTTTCCATTCTGCTGTTTTATGTTATTGACTTCTGCTTAACAGTTGGCTGACTAAAGACCTTGTCAGACCACTGCAGTGATGTAAAGTAATTAGCCTCCAACTAATAAAAATAAATGGAAAAAAAAAAAAAGAATCATAAAAGAATCGCTCAAAACACAAGAAAACAGTACCCATGCAGGATACTCACTGAAACAAACTAAAATCAGAAGACTGAAGATATTGGAGTTGTATGTGTAAAATATATGTCTAACGTGTTTTTAAAAGGGAGAAATTAAAAGAGGAAAGAATGAGAGATTACAAATTTGACCAAGGAGATTTAAAAAGAAATTGAATTCTAGAAAATAAAAAAATGCAAGTAAAATAAAAATGATGTGGATGACTGAGACAATATGACACTACTTGAGAGAATTAAGAGACCGAAGTACACATCTAGAAGTTAAACAGAATTCTGCATAGAAAAAAAATGAGATGGGAATATTAAGGCAAGTAGAAGTAACATGGAGGACAGTTTAAGAAAGAAGGGAGAATAGTAATCTCATTATAATCTAGAAAGNACCACTGGAAAAACCATAGCCTTGACTAGACGGACCTTTGTTGGCAAAGTAATGTCTCTGCTTTTTAATATGCTATCTAGGTTGGTCATAACTTTCCTTCCAAGGGAGTAGGCATCTTTTAATTTCATGGCTGCAGTCACCATCTGCAGTGATTTTGGAGCCCCAAAACTCAGCAATTATAAACATGATAGAAGGAACCTCAAAATAATTTGAATCCTGATTATGTCATTGGCAGACATTTTGGTTGTCTTTTGGAAGCAGTGTGCCCACCATTCCTGACTCCCCTTAGCTGTTGAGACCTGGCAGAACCTGGGAGGAAATAGCTGGCATGAATGCTGTTTGGGACTCTGATTCTGTCCTCATTTTTGTTACATAGAATCAGTTTTATGAGGTGCCATGTTATGCCTACCCTTTGTGTGTGATGGAAAAGGAAATGGCAGCCCATTCCAGCATTCTTGTCTGGAGAGTTCCTTAGACAGAGGAGTCTGGTGGGCGCCTGTCCATGGGGTCACAGAGTCGGACACGCTGAGTGACTATCACTCACTCACTTTGTGTGTGAGGCCTTATTTTGTTGGTTCTGTTGAGCAATTTTAGAGGTCTTAATCCCTGTTTTCTTGAACATGTTTCTCAGTTCATTGTGGGTTCAGGGCATTGGGCCAGTGTATACTGTGGGACAACCTTGGGACATGGTGATATTCTTGGGCTTCAATCAGTTCTCTGTAATCATGGGAACATTCCACAAGTTCAAGGATAACACCTAAGAAAAAACTGACTAAACATTAGAGCCCATTTACTGTTTAAGAATAGATCTCAGGGGAAAAAAACGGGGTCAGATCCTGGGCATTGGATGGGAGGCACTGAGAACCAAGTAGGGTGAATATCAATATTTAGAGCAAACACCCTTCTCTCTTTCCATTCTGCCATCTTCAGCACACCTGAGCTTTGGGCTTGTTTTCCTGTGACTGCTTGGTGGTTGCCATAGCCCCAGGCATGGCGTCCTCCTACCAGTATCCCAAGGAAGAGAGGGGTAGGGGTTAAAAACCTTCTCTGTGTAAGGTTCTGTCTTTATATGTTTAAGGAAAGTTCTCCTAGAATGTCCTTTATAACCTCCTTTGGCTCTCTCTCCCCATGCAGAAGACTTCTGCTGTCTTATTTTTTTAGACCTGGGTTACCTGCTATCCACCCCTACACCAATGAGATGATTGTCTCAAAGCACAATGGCTTGCGCTAATTGTGTTCCACTGCTGGGTTTGGAATAAGGGTTTACCTTCCCTGAGACTAAATGATCTCTGCCTGAATTAAATATGGTTGTAGCTGTAGGGGGAGGGTATGTGTGTGGCTTTGGGTGTATAGAAAGCCATGGATACCACACTCTGGTATGGTAAAATGCAGTATGGCCATTTACTCAGCTTCTGTCCTCACAGTTATCCTCTGGGATGCTCACCACACAGCCACCTGGGTACCAGAGACTCTCAGAGGCTGAGTTCATTTTCTCTAAAAAACGGGGTCAGATCCTGGGCATTGGATGGGAGGCACTGAGAACCAAGTAGGGTGAATATCAATATTTAGAGCAAACACCCTTCTCTCTTTCCATTCTGCCATCTTCAGCACACCTGAGCTTTGGGCTTGTTTTCCTGTGACTGCTTGGTGGTTGCCATAGCCCCAGGCATGGCGTCCTCCTACCAGTATCCCAAGGAAGAGAGGGGTAGGGGTTAAAAACCTTCTCTGTGTAAGGTTCTGTCTTTATATGTTTAAGGAAAGTTCTCCTAGAATGTCCTTTATAACCTCCTTTGGCTCTCTCTCCCCATGCAGAAGACTTCTGCTGTCTTATTTTTTTAGACCTGGGTTACCTGCTATCCACCCCTACACCAATGAGATGATTGTCTCAAAGCACAATGGCTTGCGCTAATTGTGTTCCACTGCTGGGTTTGGAATAAGGGTTTACCTTCCCTGAGACTAAATGATCTCTGCCTGAATTAAATATGGTTGTAGCTGTAGGGGGAGGGTATGTGTGTGGCTTTGGGTGTATAGAAAGCCATGGATACCACACTCTGGTATGGTAAAATGCAGTATGGCCATTTACTCAGCTTCTGTCCTCACAGTTATCCTCTGGGATGCTCACCACACAGCCACCTGGGTACCAGAGACTCTCAGAGGCTGAGTTCATTTTCTCGCTGTAGCCTAGAGAGAGAGGAGTAGTTACGTATGAACTGCTTCAGGCAAGTTATTTTTTACTCGGAGTAAATGGAGTGAAGATGACCCATATTGTACAAACCATGATGAACAAGACTGGCTTGCAAATTAAAACAAAATATTGCACTCATTGTCCAGACTGTCTTGAAGAGCCTATTCAGGCTTTCAGTGGAAAAAGAAGCATGAAAGACTTTCAATTTTCTTAACTTCCTTGGGTAGCAGAAGAGAGATAGTGTATTAAGGCCTCTTCCTGCTCTGCAGAAATTGCCTTAGAAACTGCCATAGAGAAGATATCAGAACTGGCCAATCAATAGAAGGTAATAAGAACCTTTGTCAGCTATGATACAATTCACAGGAGGTTGTTTCATTTTACCTTGTCTGGCTCCAACAGGAGCATTCCCCATTTTGAAAATTGCTGTAGTCGGTTTTTGTGTTTTATGAAATCTGGTCTATTGTGACTTTTTTTTTTTTAATCTTTGTGATGACAATGGGTTGGTCTTAAATAGTTTCTGGTATATTAGTTTCAGTTAGAGGTAGTATCTTGAGGAAAGTACAGTAGTTGGGGTCTATTCCTGATCTTCTTGAATTTGAAGCCTACACAGAGGCTCCCACTTTTCCTAGTAAAAAAGTAGTAAAAGGTTAGGTTGAAGAATAAAGAGCGATGTGGTACATATACATCATGAAATCTGCCAGGCATAGAAAGTACTACAATTAGTATTAAATAATACCTCCTACTTACAGAGTGCTCTGAATTTTTTGAACTCCTTTTATGTATTTTATACTCTTTGAGCTTTCCAGTAAATCTTTGAGGAAAATGGTAGTGTTCACCAGATGAACTCCATTTTGTAAGTGTGGACACAAAGACTCAAAAAAATGAAGGAAAGTTAATATTCAACTCATATGCCTTGACTATGCTGCACCCTACCTCCCTATCTGCCACCCTGTTCCAATGTGGTCTTGTTCAGAATATTTGCTATGTACTTGATCTAATGAAATCTGAATGTATGTGAGATCTGTATCATTTCAGAGTAAAAGCTCAAAGAGCTGATACAGGGTTCCACCTCTTTCTCATCAACTGGCAATGTTCTGGAGTGGCATTTCTCCTTTAGCTGTGGTCCCAGCACAAAGATGACATGAAACTAGT